AAAAATAGAATGTTTAATTCTATTTTTAACCAATATCTTATTCTACAATATCTTTATTCTGTTTTTTATAAAATTATACATTTAATATATTTAAAAATTTTTAAAAATCAATCAATAATGAAAAAAGGTTTAAAGTCCTGGGATGCTGAATAAAAAAAATTGCTCAAAACTTTGAAGATATTTAACTTAAGATAAGTCTAGTATTTGATGGGCTCTTTTTTACTTTTATTACCCCTTACAAATGTTTTGACATTGTGTAAGGTTACTTTGTTGTAATTTTTGTACTTATTATTTCATTCTTATTTATTACATTTTAGTTCAGCTTTTGATGAAATACTATTTCCTATTTTGTGCTTCTAATTTGTTCCAAAAACATTCAATTAGATTTAAATCAGATCAAAAAGAAGGAGGTTTTGGTCATTTATGGGTAACTGTGCAATAATCAATCACAAGCAAACATATAAAGCAACAAACCATAAGGAGGAGGAAGTAAGCAGTATTGGTCTAAAAAACTGGAGCACGCTGGGTGAAGTTCATGAGAAGAAATCTGTCTTTGCTCCATTGCCTGCAGGTCTTAGCAGAGCAAAATGGAACGGCCTTCACGCCTTGGGTGACCCTTCCAGAAAATTGCTCTTCCGAAGTACTTTGCCCGTTCTGCCCCGGTATACCCCCTCGCTGGCTAAGAGCACACTTTGAGGCGACCTGCAAGACTTGAGGGACTTAATATAATACGGCGTATTTCACCTACACACCAGTGGTATACAGGAACATCTCCTGGCTCCCTGCTGGAAATCAAATGTGACTGTGGCTCCTAGACTGCTCTGGCTAGACTAATAAGTGGCCACCTTAAATGTCTTTCTTTTGATAGTGGCAGAAAAATCCACCCCACTTGTAAAAAATGCTGTGACCATCCAGCTTCACTGGATCACATACTGAATTGCATTGAACTTTCTAAGGAGGACTTAACATCCGATCCCCTCACTGTTATTGATTTTTTGATGGTCAACAACCTTCTGGAGCTAATCTTTCGACGATAAACAACAACAACAAACATATAAAGCAGTATGCTTACGATAATTATCTAAATACAATGTACAGTTGTTATCCACTCAATCGCATCTACAAAGCCACTCAATCGCAGATATCCACTCAATCGCATCTACAAAGACAACCTGATCCCAGTATGATTAAAAGTCTTTTTAATCATTGATTTGCATTTCTTCTTGAATTATTACACTTCTAATTGTTTCTGGAGAAACTTGTGTATTGAATCTTTAAAAGGTTTACAGGTGTTAAATGTGCTGTGAAGTGGGTGAGCAATAAGCTTAAGCATTGAGCTTATTGTTTTTCTTATTTAGAGTTTTCGGGAAAAATTCTTTCGAATTGTTTTATAGCACAGAGAGCAGTAGGATGTGTCAAATTTAGATTTTCAGTAATTTCTCTAATAGCTTATCATTTTTTAAATGAAAAATAACTAGTTTCCTAACTTCAGTTTATTATATCATGTTGTTACAGAATTTACTATATCATGTTGTTACAGAATTTACTATATCATGTTGTTATAGATACTATATCATGTTGTTACAGAATGTTCTACATTTAAAATTATGTGCATATTTATTTTCAAACACTATGTCAGACAATATTTAAAGTACTGCAAAAATTTCAGAACAAGTATATGCAACAAATGATGTTTTAATTTCTCTGGAAAAATGTGGCCCAAAACCTTTGTAGACTAAAAAAGCACTTCTTTTTAATTTTTAATTAAAAAAATTAAGTTATTATTTGAATAAGTTCTGTGTATAATTTTTATGAGGGATAGAATAAAGAATATTTAACCCTACCATGTCACAAGAGACTCACTATAAAGAGACTGGACCAAACATAAGAACCATGGATGATGGTCCAGCCAAAACATAAATAACATGTATCAAGCTCATGGTTTATAGATAGGTCCTGATGTAAACCTTGTAGTTAATGTTTTCTGATTTAATTATGTTTTATTCTTAGCCACCTGTGCACGTATTTTCTTAAAAACATTAGGAAAGAACCATAGTGTGATTGTCTTAAAAAAGAAAATTAAGCTGTGTTGAGAACAGTGAGAAATGATTGATGACAGAGCTTCTGAAAGCTTTGGCATGGAACTGTTACAATCATTGTTATGTGCAGGTGTTATATACACCAATTATCTAAATATAACATTAGATAATTGGTATGCTTTGGCAAAACTGTTTATAACTTTAATTAACGGTAAAACTAATACAGTTGAGACAGTATGTCCTAACAGAAAGAATACATCAAAAGGTTTTGTTTTTAAAGCAAAATTAAAAAAGAGCAAGAGAAGGTATAATGAAAAGCAGCAGTGGTAAATTAACATAGTGAAAAACGTAAGCAAGATATTTCTACAAATTTTCAAAACATGACTTGAGAAGCAGAAAACAGTTCAGTCCTACTTCAAACCCAAAATGTGTTACCAAATGTATGTGACATGATACTTTTTAACTTTATGTTTTGTTCAAAAAATTAAATACAGGGAAAAAACATAATTGTATTGAATTTATTGAATGGAGTACTACAAACAGACTGCACACACAACAGTGGTGTCATTTCCCCAAGCATAGAACCAACATCATCAAAGCTATCAAAAAAATGTAAAGTACAGTGAAACAACTTGGGAGTTTAAAACTGACAAAACGTACATGTACCAGAATTCTGTGAAGGATGGCTTATAATTGAAGATTATTAATTTTCTGCAGTTTTTCTTCCAAAGTGTTAATAATTTAAGCATTTATTCTGAAACTGAAATAATGTGTTATTGATTTATTATTCACTTTCAGATGCCAAATGGTTTTTATTCACTGATGAATCATTCATAATTGTTTCTCAAACATGATACAAAATTTAAACTAATTATAACTTTAACTAGTTAACAAACATCATAGAACTAACTAGTTCATACATAACTTTAACTAGATCTCAAACATCATGCAAATTAACTAGTTATAACTAATTAAGACTAGCCCTTTGAAAATTTTGTAAATATAATGCTGATTTTTGTTGTTTGACTTTTGAATAGTTATAACTAGTTAACACATGTATTTACATATTATAAGATGTGTACGATTAGCACAACTTTGGCCACTCTGCCTAAATGGCTCAAAGCATGCCTGACATGTTCTTGATTATAATAGGCATTAGCATTTAATGTGTTGGGCAAGGAGTTAAAAATATAAATAAAAGAAACCTAGTTTAGCCTGTATATACTACTAGACGATTTAAATCACCACACTGAAAGCTTTTTCGGATGCATCGCAGAATCTATTAAGATCAATAATGATGGGCTTCAGGTATAAGAATGAATCTAGGGATTTCTAATTTATTAATTTCTGGTAGCTGCTTTAGAAATTTTAACCAGACTTTTAACTCACTTGATGGAATGGGATCGTCCCAATTGAGTTTATTCTTTCACATTTCTTGAAGAAATATTTTGGCCTTGGTAATAACTGGACTGACAACACCCAATGGGTCGAAGAGTCAATTGATGGTTGACAGGACTTCATGTTTTGTAAAACTGCTGGACAACTGTTCATATACCTTAAAACAATCTGATGAAGGTCGCCATAATAAACCAAGCGTCCTAACTGTAGGTTGATCTGATGAGAATATGTATTCCTTGGTTTTGCTGTCATATAACAAGTCTGGATTATTCAAAACCCATTTATGTAATTCCACAGCTTCTGCAGCTAACAGGTTTTGCAGTTTCTTTGTTTCTTCTAAGTTATTAGATCCAGATAAAATGTCATCAATGTGTCGTTAATTAGTACCTTCAATGCCTGAGGAAATTTCCCTTGTTCATCCTTCGCTAATGCTCGCAGTGTTCTAGTTGCTAAAAATGGAGCACATGATGTTCCATCAGTTACTGTTTTCAATCTATATGTCTCCACAGGAGCAAACATACTCGGTTTCCACAATATCTGTTGTAAATCTCTATCAGCTCCATCCACTAGTATCTGACGATACATTTTCTTGATGTCTGCACTAAATGCGTACCTATGAATGCAAAATCTGGCTAATGGAAAATACTCTCGTTGTACAGTTCTTCCATTTAACAATATAGAATTGAGAGAAAGCCCATTACTTGATTTAAAAGACACATCAAAGACAATGTGGAGGGGAGTTGACGTACTCTCAGGATGAAAAATGGCATAGTGGGGGATATAATATTCTATATTGGAACACTCATCGTCTCTAATTCTTTCCATGTGATCAAGGGACAGATATTTATCCGTAAATGTCTTATATAATGTTGTCATGGTTTAATTTTAGAGCAGAACTTAAAGTATCCTAATATTTTTGGGAGCCACTGTATGTATTTGAAATTACAATACAGTATACTTTAGGCATTTTTTTAATTAGCATTGAATTTTTCTCTTTTTTGTGATCTAATTAATCATTGCAGAGATTCTTATGCTTCCAGATAAATTGAAAAATAGTTGGTATTTCTTTGTTAGAATTACCACTGCTGTTAGATATAAAATTGGTAACTTAACAAGTCCAATCTACATTGTGCACGTTTTATAATTCACCAAAGGCTTATGTGGTAACTGCTTTAACAAGAAAGATTTTAACAAAATCTTTTCAAATGAAGACGTTTGAGGGAACTTTAAAAAGTAACGTACCAAATTAAGTGGTTTTTTTTTTTTTTTTTTTTTTTTTTCCAAAAATTGCTTGACTTTTTAGATATCATGCCAATGTTAACAGAGATAGAATTTTAAATCAGAAAGATTTAAGCCTATTTTGAACAGTGTAAAGATATTGCAGCATAGACAGGTATAGATCTTTTTATCAAATAATTTGATAACGAAATTAATGGCAAATTAAATGCAGATCTTCTCTCTTTTATATGATTTTTAGATAACTCATTTTTTCTTGACATTCTATAATATATTTTATGGCCAGCTTGACCTTTCATATTAAAAAATATGCTTTCTTCTTTATAGGTGAAACACAGAGCATGCAAATAAACCCTAAGACAAGTGCAGGATCATTGCAGACTTTAACAAATCAGGATGCATCCATTTGTTTTACAAAAAATAAAGCTTCCTCAAACAATTTTCCCAGACCTTCTGATGAGAGTTGTCGTGTTTATTTCACTAAACAATTGGGAGGACAGCAAGGTTTGGACAAAGCAGTTGAACAGATATTAAAAAATGATAACATTCAGCATACTCGGAATGACTTAAATGCAGGCAGTCATGAACAACATACTGATGCAAAGTTTTTAACTCTACAACCAGATACAACATCTGATCAAGAAACTTTAATTGCTGAAGAAGATCGTGTGTGCCCTATCTGTCAAGCTCCCTTTGGTGTAGTTATTTCTCAAAAAGAATTTGAAGAACATGTGTTGGATCATTTAGAAGTTGAAAGTGCATCTTTATTAGATCAGTATGTTGTTTTATGAATTAAGTGCAATTATTTTTATATTAATTCACATTGGGACCACTGATATCAAGAGGGTACGGTTCTGAAGATTTCAAAGTATCTCAAGGACATACATTTTTACTTCAGCAGTTTTTATATTAAATAATCATTAATTTAGATAGTTAACAGTAGTTAGAGTGGAACAGTATTTTGTAAATATATATTTGAAAGCTTTAGAAAAATATCAGAAAGATTTTCACTTTTAAAACTTTTCTGTGTCTATAAACATTAATACAAAAAGCCTCTCTGAACTTGGAATGCTTCCCAGGTACACATGGCATTTCGTTTCCAATTTTCTGCAGTCTGCTTACTCTAGAACAGTGGTTCTCAACCTGTGGTGCGCATACCCCAAGAGACGTATGAAGAAATTTACAATAATAGGGAATACAGCAGAATATTGTAATAAATACTATGAAAAAATAAAATGTCCAGGAATTTAAAATTTTTCATTTAACAAAAATGAAAATACTTGTGAAGAATACCAGTAAAGCCATTACTGTAACCAGTACGGCCAAAATGTGTACGAGCAAGTTAATTAATTGTAGCTAGCCCTACCCACACCATTAATATTGCTTGATTCCTTACTCATTGTATGCAGACACTCCTTTCCCACTTTGTCACAGTGATTAGAAGGCAGTAAAATTTTTAAACTGAAGTGAATTATCAATGACTTATGTAGCTGTTTTTCTTTACAGTTATAATACAGTCAAATTTGGCTGAGTGTGAAGTGTTGTTTTACATTAGTTTTGTTCTTTCAGAGTTGTTAATGTAAGGCTTGCTTAAATAAAAATTGATAAATGGTTAATATATTTTTGTGCAGAACTAGATTTACCATGAATAATAGCTCTGATTTGGCATCTGTGCCAAGCAATAACCAGCTGAGAACAGAAATTAAGCCATTTACTCTGTTAAAAGATAGGCTGACCAGTAGTAAGAAAATATGAAACAGTGTTTCTACTAGAACAAAAAAAAAAAAAAAATTAATGGATATTTAATATGGATTTTCATTCACAAGAGACGAGGACAGCTTCAGTCCTCTTTGTGTAACACATAAAAACATATTATCAAATGGAAGTATGGAACCGTCATTACTATTGCATTATTTAGAAACCAAACACCCAAACAAAAATTAGTGAACATTTTCAGTGACAGTTTAAAATCTTATGAACTATATGAAAGTTCAAGCTAATATAAATTATGAAAATGTGATTGAAATATCCTACAGAACAAGTTACCTTATCACCAAAAATAATATTAACTATGCAGTATGCTAAAAGTAATATATACTACAGTGCCTAATGCATGTTTTGACAAAAACATATTTGAAAAGTTAACAATATTCATTCCTCAAACAATGTAATTTATTGAAAGAAACAATTGCATGTCTGATGATTTTTAAATCCTCATTATTTAAAAGTAAAATAAATCTATTTTTTTCTGTATGTGTTGATATAAGCATCATCGATTCTTAATTTTTGTTAAACTTGACATTTATGAAGTCCTTTATTAATGTATTTCAAAATAAGTATGTTTAATATTTGACTGTGTTACAACATTATTAGGAGAAATCTTAAAGTTTTAATATAGGTTTAAATTTTATGAATAGTTTATAAATTCATCAATTCATTCATTTCTTTATATGAGAAAAAACATATCCAAAATCATTGTGGTTTATTAATAAAGTTATATTTCAGTTTAAAATATATGTTATGACTGTATTTGTTTTTTAAACAAACAATGTAATAATCAGTATTTGTTCAATATATTTTTGGACCTTATTCATTGCAGTTTATAAATTTTATGGTATTAAAGATGTAAGGTTTATCCTAAGTTTTTAACAGTTAAAGCTACTTTTCTGTGTATCCTAATTTCAGCTTATAATTTCCTACCAGAATGTGTTTTTAGAATCGCATTTAATGCACATAAGTAAGAGTAGTATTTAAGTCCACTGACTTCGATAGAGAGCCTCAGTATTTTTTGGCTGTATGCTAATTCTATATTAGTTTTAAATTTTTACCTTGAAATCTTGCCTAAAATCAAACGGCGAACCCTAGGTGTGCCCAGACCAGGCCCACCGATAATCTAGGACAACTGAGAGTCTGTATTCTTTGTTTCTCCGCATCTCATCAGTCAGTTCATTGACATCAATGCTCGTTTCAGCACTCTTTTTGAAGCTCTATTCAACCAGCGTGCCCACTCTGTGCACACCCACATAATTAAAAGATAACTGCTATCTTCACAAAATTTTACTTGTGTACTCCTCTAGGCCTAATTACACTGCCTACTTTTTTTTTTTTTTTTTTTTTTTTATCAAAACTCCAACTTTTTAAACAACAATGTAATAATCAGTATTTGTTCAATATATTTTTTGGACCTTATTCATTGCAGTTTATAAATTTATTACATCTTTAATACCATAAAAGGTAGCATGCCGGAAAAGGTTGAGTCTTATTTCTTATTAATTTTGAGTTCAAACCCAAGTGGAGGCTTTGGTGTATGTCCTGAGAAAGGGGCCAATTTTTAACTCTTATTTTGAGCAATAAAGGGTAATTAACCTTTCTTGAGTTTGTCTCTGTTCCTGAACTAAAGCGATTGTTCGCTTAGTTGTTCACTAGATTCGTCGACATTTAGTTGTTATATAAAAAGGTGTAACCCCACAAAATAATACAACAGTATTTTTTTGTGGTATTTGTTTTAATAAGATATATTGTAGCAATATTCTAAAAGAATGAGAGAGGGGATCATAGTTTTGAAAAGGGAGGGGTACTGTATATTAAAAAGTCTTATTAAGAATACTCAAATGAGAAGATGTTAAAAACCACTGCTCTATAGAAGGCTCATGATAATAAAATCCCTAATTATTTAAAAAGAGGTTAAACTAAGTATTGCTCTGCTTTTAGCGCTTATATATATACATATTATGTAATATTTCTATCGATGGAAGAGAAGCATTTATGTGCTTTATTGTCAAAAAAAAATAACCTGCATTTATACAATGAGAAGGGGAAACATCTATCTTTTTAGAAGAAATCGTGCACTGAACTTGTCTTTTTGTGTAAACTATTATTGGTACATTTTGTTTAAATAATGCCTTTATCATTTATTAATAATCAAATTCAGCTATTGTTATTTTTATTTGGAAAATATGAGAATTTATTTATGATATCATATAGGATACGAAGGTTTGATTTTAAAATAGAGTATTTTTAACTAAAGCTTCAGTATGCAAAATATATACAACATTTTATTAAACAACTTTCTGTTTTTTTAATAAGTCATCTTTAGCTATGAAAAATCATTTTTGCTGCAGTTCATTAAGCTTCATTGTAGAATGATGCAAATTTAATTCAATTTACTTGATTTTATGCAAGCATGGTTAACACTCGAATACCTTAAAAATTGCATTTATTATTGTGCCTTAGATATAAATTATATTAAAACTTAAAAGAGAAAAACTATCAGTAGATATGATTAGCTAGGAAATATGTGGCTTTAAGGATGAACTATCAATTATTATGTTAACATATTAATGTTATATTTTCCTAGGCTGTGATACAGGAAAAGGGATAAAAGGATTTTGCTAGTCAAATCTTCATTTATTCATCAGCCACTTAGAAAGGTTACTAAATATAAAATTGTATAAATAATTTATACTATTTTATATTAAAAAAGTTAATAATTTATAAATAATTATTCTACTTTTAATTTATACTTTTTTTTTTAATTTTATAAATATTTCTTGAGATAAATAAACATATGTGGATGTGAATAGGTTATAGATATTCTGTAAAGAAAAAGTTAACCAAAGTTTGAAAATATTTATATGGTAATTTCTAATATGCATTCTTTAACAGAAACTTTTCTGCATGAACTACCTAATTAAAAAAAAAAAAAAGTTAAGAGAACTGAAAGTGTATAAAACTATAATTCTGTGTAAATTTAAAGATTTTCAATTATAATGCTAATATATTATTTAAGTCCAAATGAAGTGTTTAAAGAATCTACTAAAGTCTTATTTCATATTTTAAAGTTTAATTTTAAATATTTTTAAAGTTATATTCACAAATAAAAATTTATAATATATATATTACAAACTATGTTAAGTTGTATGATAAAAATTAATATTTTGAGATTTATTGAATCAAATTATTTATTCAGGTTTTATTTTGTATTGATAAAATTTGTAATATAATGTACAAAAATAAAACTATTTTTAAAGAAAGCCACAGACTTATTTTAATTTCTGTTTTGTATTTTATTTTTATAAATGTTCATACATTGGCTTACTTTGAATAAAATGCTTTATCAGAAATGTGTTTATTTTCTACCTGTGCTACAACCTAGAACATAAAAACTTAGATCAAATTAATTTTCTTTGTAGAAAAATAATACAATACAAAGTCCGTAATCCAGAAATCCATTATCCGGAATGATCTATAATCCAGACATTAAGGCCAAACACTTGCGCATGCGCGTAAATCCAATAAAGCGTTTACACATGTGCGCTTCCGATAGTAAAGAAAGTAACAGAGGTTATTGAAAACGAAAAAATTTCGATTGACAAGTTAGTCGGTATTCTCGACACAGCAATTACAGGATTTGAACAGTGGAACTTTGTAACTGAACAAGAAATTATGTCTGTTTATAGAAGAAACAATTAAAGAGAAAGTATTAGCACAAAAAATGAAGCAACTTAAACAACTTACATTATACGGTTTCATATTTTTAATTGTATAATTTCTGCATGCCATCTTACCAAATTTAAACTGATGATCTATAATCCGGAATCGCCTGATTAAGTCCTGACGAGTCCGGATTACGAACTTTGTAGTACATAAATCTCATATTATGTATCATTCAGTAGTTATTCTAGTACTGATTTTTTTATGCTGCATGGTTTAATTTCCATTTAAGAAGAGAAAAAAATAAATCGAATAGAAAAATGCATTGGCAATTGATAGTTCATCAGAGTGGCGTAATGCTGTACGCAGCATCAAAGAAGATTTAGCATAATTCCTGTCACATGACGGCAGCCAGTAATGTCAGCTGACTACTGTACAGTTATGGCTTAATGTAGACCTTAACTTAGTCACAATATGTAAGAGCTGGGGACCATTTCTGTAGAAAAGAGCAACTGGTGACACTAACAAATATTAAAAAAATGTATAAATGAAAGGATGTAGCCATCAAGTGTTATCACCGTGTATTAAAGAAATACAGCAAAAAATATGTGGCAATATCTACCACGTTATTCGGAATTCTAAAGATACTGAATACAAATTGTTTTCAACTTCTAAATACATCTTTGTTTCCATTTGGTGAAGCATGGGATATTTAATTTTTTTGTTATTATAATTAAAATTTATTTCTACATATTTTAATTTCCATTTTGTATTTTATTTTTGTAAATGTTCATTGTTGTTGTTGCTTATGCTCACTTGTCTGACATAGTCAGCCCAAGAAAAAATAATATAATTCTGATATCTGCAATGAAAAGGGTGAGCTAAAATGCTTCAATTGTTATGATTATGGACATATGGCGACAGATTGTCCTCAATCTAAAAAAAAAATTTACAGGAAATGTAATGGAAAGGGTCATTTTTTTAAAAAGTGTACGTGTAAGAGTTCGGACTTGACAAATGTCAAAAAAAAAAAAAAAAAAATTATCCATGAACCAGAATTTAGGTGTTTCACCAACTGTACATTTAAAGTATGCTAGCATCAATAATGGAGAAGAAGTTACTGCAATCAGAGATACGGGTCTGGTTCATGTTTATTGAAACAGTCTGTGGCTAAGAAACTGAA